ACTCTTTCCTCCAGCATTCATGGACCTCACTAGGGTTGAACAAATAGACCTGGAAAACTGGGCTGGAAACAGTGAAAACTGGGATGGAAAACCACACATCCAGCAGATCACTGCTTGTCCATGCTTGGAGCATCACTATTTGCTCTCCATCACCCCAAAACCTACCACGCCAAGTCCCAAGTACATTCACCTCCCCAAGGGGTGCCCCAGTGGCACTTTCACTTGCAATATTTAGCACTGAAGTCCCAGCTTGATTAGTGACCTAAAAGCCAGACCCGAGGCAGTACCTGAGGATTTGCATACCTAACGAGCAGAGGGGGAATTTCAAAGTTCAGCCAGCCACTGTTTCCAGCCACCTTCTTGAGCTTTTTATAGAGCCAGGGTGCAATTCACAGGGAAGTTTGCAAATAATTGTGAATAAAGAGGAAGCATGAGGCTCTGACATGCTGCTCATGAGGACTTTATGAGCAGAAAAAGAGGTGATATCTGAGAGAGAAATGAGGCCTGGGGACATCTTCTAGCTTGGTTCCCTTTAACTTCTGATTTCCAGTGCCCAGCCCTCTGGCTTCGCAATCCCTGCTGCTGCAGGGTTATCTTGGCTCAGCTGGGTGAGCACCACAGGTAAAGCATGCATGTATTTAGCAACAGCTACATAAAATTATCCCCCCTTCAAAGCCTGACTCTGCAGTGAGTCACTGGGAGATTTCTCACTGATTTTTCTTGGGCTATGGGTCCCATTTGCAGAACCTCCCAACACAAATTCCCTGTGTAACATTTTCTCTTAACACCGGGCAGCTCTTTCCCAAAAGGTTTCCAACTATGACCAAGAGCTGTTTATACATGGCAAATCAGAGAGGGAACCTTAATTTACAACCCTCGGAAGTATTATAATTTACAGCATTTGCAATGAAACTGTTTATATTTATAGCAAAAAAACAACAACAAAAAAGCCTCCATATTCACTTCCTACTCCCACTGCTGTGGGATGAGTAGTTAATCAATCCAGACTGATTAAAGCCCAGCTTATTGATTTCAATAAAACGATTCATCCAAGGATTTCACCCTTATCTATGCCAAACCCATCTCTGCCCTGCTGCCATTCATGCTGAATGGAGAAAGGTTCTTTTTTCCTATTCAAAAGGCAGCCCTAGAGGACACGGGCTGTGTCCCACTGCCTCCCAGCACATGGTCCCACTGCTGCCGAATCCTGCAGCTGCTCAGCACCAGCAGTGCTGGGCTTGGACCCAACAGAGACACAAGAACAGGTCCTCAATCTAAAAGTGCCTCATAAAGAAACCCCACTGATCGTCCAGGCTGGGGAAACATCACAAGAAAGGGGCTTTTAGCCCAGCACCCATCCCTGCATTGCCAGGGCTGGGCCAGGGCAGCTCCTCCTCTGAGTGCAAGGGGAACAAGGCTGATTTATTTGTCCCTTTGTATGTATTTAATCTAAGAGATACAAACTAAGCAACTAATGATATTTTTCCAGAATTCAATCAACTCAATTGTCATCTAACTCAATCAGAGGCACTTTCAAGCCCCCGTTTTATCTCAGCCCCACTGCTGGGTGTAGAACCCTGCCCTTGATCCAGAGGAGGGGTGTGCTGATGTCTTTCTCCCCTCATTAATTTTCCCTCCCACCTTTCTCCTCTGAAGAACCGAAACATTCAGATCCACAAAACCTATAGAAGTGACCTGGTCCCAGCAGCACGGGGGGGCTGCAGGATCACATGCCCCTTCCGCAGAGGGAAGCCCCCAGCCCTGGAACACCTTTGGGTCTTCATCACTGGGCATGGGGGGAAAGCTTTTTTTTCCTGTATAAGTACATTCAGTCCTTAAAATGGGCCAGGAAATACCAGCCTCCCTCTCCCTTCCACTTCTCAGACTGAAGCTGTTTTTTTTGCCATTTACCAGGATACTCTGCCTGCTCCACCACAGCCACTGATCCCACTGGGACCCCCCCCCCTTCCCTGCCACACGGATCCAGCAAACACATGGAGTTATTTTTCCATGCTGGAAGACCCCAGGCACTTCCACACTAGTCCCTTGCATGAAGGTCTTGGCCAGCCCTTATGTGGGGACAGCAGGGAGCCAGGAACAAGCCTGAAATTCAGGACACTCAGCAAAGAGGAAGTCCTGGCCCTGATGCCAGGGATATGGAGCAGTAGTAATAAAAAATTCGCAGAGAGATTCCCAGAGTCACTCCTGTAGTGAGTTTTGTCCCAGCAGTGCTCTGCTGATCTCCTGGCTGAAAGAGGGGTGGGCAGGTCCGGGCAGAGGGTCCCTGCGGGCAGGAGGGGTCCAGGCTGGGCTGGCAGCGATGGCAGCCTGGAGGGGAAGATGAAAGGATGCGGGCAGGGCAGGACAAAGGGCTCCGCACCTCACCTCGCTGCCAAAGGAGCCGGCCACCATCTCCATGACAAAGCAAAGCCCTTGTCAATTTGGGCTGGCCCCAAGGGGGACCTGCCCACCGCCTTTGAAGTGGGCAGCAGAGCCCCCCCGCC